CTTTACAGTCAATATCCACTCGTGCGTCCACATTCAATATCCACTTTGCAAAGGCTGCACACTAGACTCCCCTAGGGAGCACTTAATATACTGAGATTCCGATGGAATTTATTTGAGGTGAGGCCTGGACATTGATATTAATTTTTAAGTGCTCCAGGTGACCCTGATAGGCAGCCAGTGTTGAGAAACAGATCTAAACCTACAAGTGGTTCCCACGTGGTGTGTCCCCTTCCTGTCAGGAGGAAGCCGGGATCTTTAAATTCCTAGTGCCTGAAACACACTGTAATTTCACCTTTGTAATTCCTCCACATGTATTATCCTGGGTAAATCAGACATCTTGTGCTAACCTCAGTTTTCTTAGGTGTGCAATGATTCATTTAGATGAGGTGTCCGAGATGGTCAGAATCCAAAGAACAAGTCATCATTGGAGTTTGTCATGGGCTGAATTATGTCGCCCTCCCACACTCTTACAGTGAAGAACGAACCCTCCAGAACCTCAGGATGTGACTGCATTTGGAGATCAGGTCTTTAAATTGACAATGAAGCTAAAATGAGGTCGTTAGGGTGGGCCCTAATCCAATATGACTGGTGTCCTTATAAGAGGTTAGGACACAGACACACAGATCATGTGAGAGGTCTCAGAAGAAACCAACTCTGCAGTTGCCTTGATCTCAGAATTCTAGCCTCCAGAATTGTGAGAAGATAAACTTCTTTCTGTCATTAAAGACACCCAGTCTGTGGTGCTCTGTTATGGCAGCCCTAGCAAATCAACACAGGGTTTGTGTGTATACACAAAATAGCTCCTGGATTATCCTTCTTTGGATGACTCTAACCCGGGGCCTGTATCTGGGCATCCTGTTCTCACTGGGGTCCTCTACTTTGGGCCAGTCTTCTCCTTCAGGGCCCAGCCAGTCCCCTCTCCCCTCCTCTGGCTGTCACCCTTCCAGAGGTCCTCCCCCCACCTGAATTTGTGTGCTGGGGCCCCCTGCTAATGATCATATGCCATAAGGTAGCATCTGTACCACAAAGGTGAGCATCTCATTCACTGATCTAGAGCTCTGCCAGGTGCTGTGCCAGGGCTTTGCCTACACCATCTTAGTCCTCAGACCTCTCCTGAAAGGTTGGTATTATCCCACCTCCTCAAATGAGGAGTGAGGCTCTAAGATGTGGAAATACCTCTGACATTCCACACCAGGTCCAATTCCAAAGCCTCTACCTCCTCCCTGCCTCCCCACCACCCAGGCTCCCCTGCTTCATCCCCAGGGGTACTCAGAAGAGTGGGGGCTTCCTGCCTTGTTCGCTGTCCACACACCCACAGCCCCACACATGGCTGGCAAACCAGTAAGCATGGGCTTCCCTGGTGGTGCTGTGGTTAAGAATCCGCCTGCCAATGCAGGCGACACAGGTTCCAGCCCTGCTCCAGGAAGATCCCACATGCCACGGAACAACTAAGCCCCAGCACCACAACTACTGAGCCTGTGTTCTAGAGCCCGTGTGCCACACCTACTGAAGCCCACGCGCCTAGAGCCTGTGCTCCGCAACAAGAGAAGCCACCGCAATGAGAAGCCTGCGCACCACAAGGAAGAGTAGCCCCCACTCGCCGCAACTAGAGAAAGACCCCACGCAGCCACAAAGACCCAACACAGCCAAAAATAAATAAGTAAAATAAATAAATTGGAAAAAAACAAACCAACAGTAAGCATACACTGGGTGAGCAGCTGTGCAGCTGGTGGGCTTTCCTAACTCATGTGGGATCATCCCGTTTCCCCACTTCACTCCCTCCCCTCAGGGATCCCATTGCTGACCAATTAAAGCCCCAGCTGCTTGCCCAGGATTCCACACTCACCAACACCCTCAGCCACCTTATTGCACCCCAGGTTCTAACTATGCTTTCCTACAGGGCCTTCCTCAAACCATTAAGGCCCTCAAAGAATTTAGCAGGAAGCTTGTTGATTTGTTAAATTCACCTGCCTTGAGGCTTTCTCTGATGGGTGAGAATTGCTGAATGCAAATTAAACTTACCTCCTGGGGCTTCCCTGGTGGTGCAGTGGTTGAGAGTCCGCCTGCCGATGCAGGGGACATGGGTTCGTGTCCTGGACCGGGAAGATCCCACATGCCGCGGAGCGGCTAGGCCCATGAGCCATGGCTGCTGAGCCTGCGCGTCCGGAGCCTGTGCTCCGCAACGGGAGAGGCCACAACAGTGAGAG